TATATGTTCAAATAAATAAATAATGAATAAATGCCAACAGTTCATGTACATAAAGTTTTTTCTACCTAAATGTTGTTTTCGAGTTGCGAATACAGTCTATTAGTGATTATTAAACGAAGTTGGTTTTTGAACGAATACATTGAGTTATTGTTTTATAATACTTTATATAACGATTGTCTTGTACAATAATGGTTAGAAAAGTGACTACTTGGTCTACATGAAGTTAAAAATCCATATTGATGACGTTTTTAGAATAGCATTCAAGATGAAAAAATATGCAAATCCACTTACTTAACCACAAATAGTTTTTGTAAATAATGGTTTATCCTTAAGTATTTTTTGTATGGCGTATTGGCAGTTCTATATCGAAGGTGATGTATGCAATATGAAAACCTTTGACTCTACACATTAGTTTTTACTCGGTAGATAAGCTTATCCATTGTCACTCTTTTTATCACAGTCTTTAAATTTTGTATATAGTCTATTTTTCAACTGTACAAAGATTACAAGGAAATCGCACATTTAGCTATGTTGCACGAATGCATTCATATGGATTCAAAAAACGTTTTACAGACTGTTAAGAACTGAAAAATTGAAAAATATATTCCATACTGGTTATTAATTTTATCACCAATGCAGCAAATAGTATTATTTTTATTTAGTGAATTCTGAGGAAAAAGAGTTTTAGGGACAAAACTAATCTAAAGTAAGTGAATCACGGTAACTAAACTGTTTAATACATATTTGTTGAATGGTTAACATTTAAACATCTATCACACGAATAACAGTTTCCAAGATAACATATCATCTGTTGGTAGATTTTTTTTTATCGAAATTAAGCATTCTATATCAAATAAAATGATTACAATGAATAATAATTCATCTTGGTTTTAAAAATTTATGATTTCAGTAATTTGCCTTTGGTTTTCAAAGAATTTCATACATTTTTTTGACTTATCATTAAACGTGTCAGTCATATCTTGTTACCTTATTATTATTAACAACGTTTATATATATATATATATATATATATATATATATATATATATATACATATATTAGGTGAAACACTATATTATTGTTGCTCGACTTTTATACTATTGACAACTCAAAAATCTGAGTCATTTATGTTTTTCAGCTATAAAAAGATTGTGATATGTTTGTTTACTTGAGGTTTATTTTAATGAAGTAGTTACATATGTCAACCTAAAATTAACATCAGGATACTATGGTGACTATTAAATTTTCATTCTTTTCTGTATTTTGATACATATATATGAAATCGTAAGTTGAGTAGTACTAGTTCGATGCATAGCTTTTTGAATACTTTTAGGATTAAGGATGAATGGTACAAAAGATTTAATGAAAGAAACATTTACTCAAGTGTTCAAAACTAAATTTAAGATGGAATTCGTAGAGATATCACGTTTAATGTGTTTAGAATTTTTTTACTGTGATGAAGTATATGCTACCGAATGAAACAATCGTAATTACAATATACTTACTTCATAGGTGAATTAAGATTTCTTTCATAACAGCAATAACGTTTTAGTAGATGAATTCATGTAGTACCAGGGGATATAAACTGTAGTGAATGATAATATACAAATGACAGAGGTTGTATTAATCTCACAATTTATAAGTTTCCTTAAAGATAAACTATTATGGTAAATAATATCAATTAGAAAGACATTTTATAAATACGTTCATAAATTTTCGTCTTAAGATTAGCTAATAAGTACTGTTCCTAATAATCGCCAGTTGTTTTTTGAAGCAAACTTAACTATATGGTCACCGTCACGAGGTAAAGTTGGCTATCAATCGTTCATAATTAAGTGATAGTAAGAACTCGGGTGATATTACATAGTTTGATGTAGTCAAGAGGGTCTTCTTGCCTTAGGTTTTATGCTTTTTGACATTCTTGAGCAGAGTGCACCTGCAAAACTAGAGGTAAAGTGTTCTTCCATGGGTTTGAATCTGAGCTATTCATTTTCACATTCAGAGATGTTACTACTGAGTTATTTGGGACTCTTCTGACCTCCTGTAGCAATGAAATGCATTTAAAAATGATTGAATATCAACCAACAACAAATAGCATGCTCACCAATTACTTCTAAATGCTGATCAGATCCAATCGATCAACTTACAACATAGACTTTAGTTTAAATGACTCAAAATAGGATATTCTGTGTTTCCTAACGACCATCACAACATGGTACACGCAATTTCGAGTTACTTAGTGTGTTAGTCACATTTATAACTGATCGACAGAACCTAGCCACTACTAATCATAACTTGACTAACATTATATCAATCACTACTCAGTAGCAAATCAATTGGAAATTTAATGAGTTGCCAAAATGGGTAACGACAGAAATTCCCAGTAGCTTTTATAGGCAGATTACAGAGAGCATTTCGGTTTAATACAAAGAAAGCTCTTATCCACATCTAATAAGTTCATCATCAGATATTACTGACAGGTTTATTTAAATAATATTGACAGAAAACAAATAACGTAAACGGTATAACTTCACATTACACAAATATGATGAAATGTCGATATTATGGTATAACTTCTAAATGAATTCATTTAAAGAGTTATTTAACAATATGAATATTGACAAAAACGGATTGTTAATGGTTACAGCTTATAGTATAATATTTTATATGTCAGATCCATGATCTTTCTAGTTGAATCGATGTCCAAAAAATAAAACATTTCTAAAATCAAATATTTTTGATGATTTTATCTGTGAAGTAAAATTCCATGTTGAATCGGTTGAACTAAAGGTCGTTCTAATTTTAAGAAAGTGTTTATGCATCAGATTTTAATTATCCTAAAAATCAATAGAAGAGATCTTCAGATAGATAAAAAATTATCCGATAGTTATATTTTTTCTCTAAATAGGTATATTGCCATATATATTCGATAAAGAGTATGATGTATCACACAAAATAGTTGAGTAACGGTTTAATTTATAACAACACTTATGAACGTATAAAACTATATAATTATTGATGTGAACTATTGTACAGTTTACAGGTTTGAGTCAAGTAGTTGAGTTTGTAGACGTAAACCTAGAAATTTCAACTCGGTAGTTCAAGGATTAATCAGTATCAGAGCGACTCGCAGATTCTGGGTCGGGTAGAATAATCTAGTAATGAGTTCTGTGCTAGGAAAATGAAATTCTATAATGCTACGTACTGTTTCGTATTATCATTCTGAATGTCAGTTTATAACGTAACTATGAACTACAACTCTGTTTATGTTTTAAATAACTTAGAATACTAATGGAGAAACTTAGTTCTTGGTTTTTATTTCACTCAAATGGTTTCTGTTTTTGGTTATTTACTGACAACATTACTAACCTATACATAGTTTGTTCAATCTTTTTATTACTATCCATGATTCAATATTATATCAAGTTAAAGACTATATATTTGGAAGTTTCGATACTTTACTTTATCGTAGTATGTTGATGAATTAAATAATTGGTAACATCCTTCATTTGTAATCATAAATATATATAACATGAGTTGCTGAATCTCAACCGTCATGATTGTTTCCAAATAAACCTTCATTTTTGTATAAATAAAAATAAAAATAGACTAATATAAACATATTGAGTTTCATAGATATGGAATTCATAAGTAGATGAGCGTTAAATTTACTTATAAATTACCCTATTCAAAATTATTATTTCGTTTCTTGTAGTAAACATATATTTTGATGAAAAGTACTAATTTATCGGTTTTATTCTTTAATCACAATATATTCGACAGAATTTCACAATAGTCATTTTCTGGCAATAATAAACCTCATAAGAAAAGAAACTCTATGTAACGTTTTATGTTCTATATTTATATAATTCAGCAATATTGTTAAATATAAAATCTTTTACTATTAGAATGATTCTTTGATTTATAGAATAACAAATTAAATGTTACATATATATTTTGACAATATTATTGTGGAGACTAGAAAAAGTGATGTAGAGAGTTTTATGCGTATTTATAATATGACAGATATTGTGTATGTTAGTATTTATATTATATATCATTTAATAATGAAACTAGATTTCTTAATGTAGTTAAGTAAACTTGTCGAAAATCATGCTTAAATCTAAAAAAAAATCAGACTCGTAAATTATGTGAAAGATTGATATACATATGTAAATATTGACTTGATTTATAGAGTTGGTAGTTCTATCATACTACACTTATGTAGTTGATTGTCTTAGATACTTTCATGTGAAAACTGTAATAATTAAACCACGGAAAAAACTTGAATCTTGATACATAACATTGACAGACGAAATTACTATTAAATATATAACTGAGACAAGGACATATTACTCAACTGCGCTTCTATACGATAACAACAATGTAAATGGTTGTAATTTATCGAATAGTGTTAATTAAAACTTACAAAAGGCTTTCATTTCCTTAAGAATATCTACAAATAACTGATTATATCAATTTGCATATTTCAAAAATGCATGAATCTACGATAAATACATATAAATAGTAGAGAAAAACAAGCGTCTTAACTTCATTAATATCATCATAACTATTGACGAGGTTCATTTTACACACATCTTAACTTTAAATACTTTAAGGTTAGTGTATTAGCGTTGACATAAATTGATGACAAAAAAAGACCCGATTTGAAGTCATTACGACGGTCTGCAGTTAATATTATAAATGAATTTGTAAGCCAAAATCAAAATTCACAATTAAAAATCCACTGTTATTGGTTTTTTATAGTCGGATGACAATTCTTGAAAAGCTTTAAGTAATATTTGTGGGTATTATATATATTTAAATGATAAATAACTGATAAAAATCGAACAATAATTTCAAAATGAGATATGTGAAACGTATGCAAGAATATCGCTAATCCTTTCCTTATATTTAAAACTTTTAGATAAGGTAATATAACTTGATAATAGTTTTTACTTATTTTCTATGTATTCTATTCTTCCTTGTTTGAATGTCAGACAACACACCAACAAGTGATACAAAATGCAAAACAAATGTTCCTCCACTAAAAAAGATCATACGATCATCCATTACAGAAACTGAAGAAGTTAAAGAGAAGTCTGTCAAATCTTACTTTGATACTGTTTCATCAGCTGGTTATCCTACATCACCACCGGACTTTTCTGATTATGTTAAGACACGTGTAACAAATAAATACCCAAGTTATTCATCTTCTTGCAGTTCATATCAATATCATCATCATGTAGAAAATTTACCTAAAAAATCGGATGAAAATATCAATGGTCACAGTAATTTGACATCACATAAAGTTTTATCTACGGTTACTAAATTAGCACCAGAGAGTAATGTGCCTCAAACAAATAATTATGAAAGTATATCAAGACCACAAATCAGTGTTCCTATTAAAATACGACGTATACCACAAGATGTTAGGGTAATTCACACATCAAATACACCTACCTTAAATAGATTAGACGAATTTAAACGGAACTGTGAACGAGCAACAAGACAATGGGAACAAGTGATCAATAATAAAAATAATAATAAATTGACAGAAGAAATAATGGTTCGCAGAATAGCTGAATTGGAATCCTGTGTAAAAGAGGCTGAAAAGTAAGTGAGTTTATACACATACAATATTCTCAAAACGCCTTAGTCTAAATACTTAATTTTAATATGAAAACATGTATCTGATTATTTTACTGATCAAGGAATATAATATGACTGAAATCAAATGTCAGACTGCATGTTACGCAGTTGCCTGGTTAAAGCGGTTTAAATTTGTTATTTGTTTTTAATTAAGTTCAATCGTAATGGCAATTTTAAGATACGAAAATTTGCACTTTTTGAGCCTCAGTTTAGATGGGCAATGGTGATAGCAAATGATGTCTTAAACTTAGATAGATGGAATGGGATTTTAATCCTCAACGTTATGAATGTGAGCCGAAAATCTATACCAATAATGCAATGGTTTTTAATTTTAAGCTGATAAATTTAAAGTACATTTATTACATAATAAACTTGCTTGGAACAGAAGAAAGTAACGTTATTGGTTATCATGGTCAAACCATCCAAAGCGTTCACGTAAGTTACGTTAATTCTCAAAGCACATAAGTTATTGGACAAGTATACCCATAAGCACATACCGAATTCAATATTTGAATTAACGTTTAAATCCTTTTCGTGACTTTCATTAAATTCTTATGTAAGTATTTACCACTGATATCTAGATTTACTGCGTACTGAGTATGTGCATCAGAAAACTCGGTATCTATAAACGTTAACTATTCAACGACTATTAATATAACTTTACTGAGGAATATCCTTATAAAATTAACAGCTACACTGCAAATTGTTATGTATTTATCCTTTGCTGTTGTCATTTAAAGACTTATATATATAATTGATTTTCATAATACTCTTCCAAGAGTGTTAATGTTTTCGTTTGGGATCACACGGGCACTTTCTTTTCAATATAGCTTTCTTAAGCATTTTTTGATGTCACTTGTGAAATAGATATGCACAGAACGGAACAAAACTCTGTAAATAGAGATTACACATTGATGAAAAACGCTTGTTTCTGTAATAACGAGTCTTCTAAACCCATTTCTATGAATTTATTCAACAATATGCAGGAAACAGTAACTATATGTAAAAGATGGATTATAAGATATAGGAAAACCAGTAGCTATATTCTTTTTTGTTCCCAGTATTCGAAATAAATCTTGTGTGAGCAATTGACAGTAGGTAAAACAAATATCATTCCTAAATAAAAACACTAACTTAAATACACTATTAGATGTTCTAATATATTCCACATCCTTTCTTCTTGGTAAAACTTTCATCAGTGAACTGATTTTATAACCTTTAAGACAGACAAGCGATTGTGGATAATCAGCTTTTCTTGGGAAAAAAACATTTCTGAATGACACAAAAGAATATCCAACTAGTTAGTGCATATAATGAATCTAATAACTTAAAGCATTAACAGATCTCGTCGAATTTTCACAAGTGTTTTGAAATCTTCAATATATTAAGAAATCTTCTGCATACAAATTTTCCACTGAATAAAATGTAAACCATGATACAACATAAATGATACTGAATATTATGTTGAATAAGTTGATCATGTAAGAGAAAATTAATGCACAATAGCAAGTGAATTCTACCATGTTTCCTTGTAATACTGTTAGGATTATTCCACTTGATAATGAGCTTATGAATAATAGAATAGCTTAACGATAAGTAATTACAAATTGGCTTTTTCACACTGAAACATTTGCCTACACTGTTTCATCTTAAATGAAAAATGATAAAATCATTGTTACATCCTCAAATAACGTTCGAAACAAACAATTCAATACAGTAATGTTTGGATGTGAACAAATGATTAAATTCCATATTATTATTATTTTCACTATTACTATTATTAGAGCCAATGGTATTTTTAAAGTAATCACATAACATATATTTATTTGCTTTATTGTTGTTAGTTAATAAAGCACTTATTAATGATTACACAAACGTAATGCACGGTTATGAATGTAGGAACGGAGTTGTTTACTGAACGTGTAGTTATAATAAATATAATGTCTACAATGATGTATTTATGTTTACTATGAGAACCATTATCAGAACTTACTAGAGATATAACTTCCCTGTATCCAATCACAAGCCAAGCCAAATTATTAGCCTTTAGTAACGTTTAAAAGTAAACACATGAAAAATAGGCCAAAACATCTGTTAAAAGGGATAAATAAATTGACTTATTTTGAGTCAACTTTCTAGGGGTTTAGTCATATTATCAACTAAATATTTTAGTCATAATGAATTTTTATAAAAATAAATGAATTAAGTATTCCTGATTACTTCTCATCTGACGTTATAGATACAAATAGGAATGTTTATTCGTTGTGACTTGTAAAATGGTGTTAATAAATATTACAAAGTCATGGAAATGCATATATAATTTCTTAAGAATTTTTATATGCGTATATGGTAAAGAAATAAAAAAGAAATGGATCATTCATAAAGTATATGAATAATATGTAGAAATATTTAAGTAATTTTAATAATAATGTGAAAAAATAACTTTCAAAGAAACCTAGACAGTAATGTTTATTGTTGCTACCCAACAGTTGGTGACGTTAATGTGGAGAAGAAGGGAGGATAGTTGGTGAAATCATTAAAATTTCTTAATTAGAAATCATTTAATTATGATTATGATTAACATCAACTCAATATTTTAACACATTCATAAACTATATGAATGATCAATTTCTTTTTTTAAAATTCACATAAAAATTCTTTTAAAAAATTATATAAACATTCCCATGAATTCATTATGTCTAAAAATTATATTTGAAGTAATCTCAGCGATTGAAATTAAAATCCAGCTAACTTGTCTGGACGAAACGTTGGAATTATTTAAATTTCAATTGTTGAGATTATTTCAAATATAATTTTCACATAGAATGACTTCTCTATACTCGGTGCCCAATTCTTGTCAAACTATTCGTTCTAATCTTGACGAATATTTGTATAAATTCCCATGAATTGTTTATTTTTAATTTCATATACTTCTATACTACTAATTCATAATTTTACAAATCATAACAAATAAAACATTCTATTTTGTATTTGTAACATTAAATGAAAATGATTATTATTAGTAATTATGCATTTATATTGTTATTTGTTTAAAATTCATATTACCAATCATTTATTTGTTCATGTAACCTATAAACATATTTACCTACCTAGTTACATTAATAAATTTGCACTGAAAAATATTTTTTCTTAATAGAATGAGTAATTAATAAAAAATGTTTAATAAATTAAAATTATGAAGTTTATTTAGCAAAGAAAAAAAGAAGAAAAGTGAGGAGAAAGAAAAAAATTTGAAATGATTCGATTTTCAATGAAAAATCTTTATTAATTTATTTAAATAAAACGAATGAAGTTAGTTAGTTGCCAACATGTAATGAGATAAACAAAGAAAATTATCATAATGTCAATCATTTAATAGAAAATAATGATTATCAGAACATTAAATTGAAAAAAATATTAGTCATAATAAAGAAAGGAAACGAGAACAAAACAAAAAAGTTAGTTGTGCCAATGTGAATTGTTAGGTCTGTGTAACACGGTAGTAATCAAATATTTGCATAGAGAAGTTAAACAGATCTCGTTGTCATTACCTAATCGCTTACTATATCAATAGTTTACCTGATAGGTAGAGAAACTAAACTCATTGAATATTTGAAATTGCAAACTTCGGAGTGTGGTGTGTGCTACTTATATTGACATAAATAATGTATGATGTTAGTCGTGAACAGAAGGTCTGGCAGCAGAGAGACAAGAGGATCAAACAGTAAAGAATGGAAACAAAATGCAGTTTATATGAAAATGCAAGAACAATGAAGTCTGAGTCATGATGAGACAATTGTTGGACATTTTGCAAATTACGTATTTATTTCACGATTGTTAGATCTTATTAACAAGTCTTGTAATTTTTTGTTAAGCATATTCGATTGACCCCACTGTTAAAAGTATTTTTAAAACTGAACTCTTTTTTTAACGAATCTATCTTCTTAAGTTTACCACAAAAACTGATGTTCAAACTTTAGATTTTAAACTTAATCATAAATATAGATTGCCTGCAAATTTCAAAACCTTAATTTTTTCCTTTATTTATGGAAATTATATTTGAAGTAATCTCATCCATTGGACTTTAAATAATTCAACAGTTTTGTCCAGCAAACTTGCTTGGACTTCTTCAGGATAATAAGCAAAATCAAAAATATCAAAGAATACGTAAAGCTTAACAATCAAATCACATATTTACTGTGCTTATCTAATCATGTTCAGATGTTGACTTTTGTAAATAGGATAACACGAGTCAGTTAAATGATAAACATGTAAAAGGTTCACAGTGTGAAGAGAAATGGATAAATGATTGTGTTTGTGAATGTATGTGTACGTTTGAGTTATTGATAGTTTATGTTAGGTGTGAATTTGTTTTACATGAAGTAAAAGTGCGAGTTGAACTTGTTTTTCAACTGTCTATGTGAATGTAAAATGAGAACCATCATATAAATAATTGTAGTGTTAAAATATTAGGATAACGAAGCATGTGAAATAAAAAGGTTGAATAGAGATAGGTTCAAATTACATGTTAATGAACATTTGCCAGATGGTAGCTAGTTGAATACAATATTTTCTTTTCAGCCTGTTCTTATTAGCCCTAAATGCAGCGCTTCTGCTGTCAGTCTTACTTTATGTGTGCCAAAACCTTATTGAAGTATTTTAGTCAATTCGAAATTCATCTTATGTACTGTTTTTAACGCATGCAACGCCATCACCGACCTCTTTTCAAGTCTCCCCAGATCAACTTAGGATATAGGATAATTTTTCAAACATTGTTTATATTCTTCCAACTTCATAGACAACATTCTGTTGTCATTCTGTGGTGCGTTCTACTTATATTTATGTAAGTAGTATATGACGCAAGTTAAAAACGTAATGTCTGGCAGCAGAAGATGAGGAAAATCAATAAAAGAAAGAGCAAGAACACAATGCAATTTGTAAGAAAACGCAAGAACAATGAAATGTGAGACAGTGGATTGATGTTTGCAACAGGAACAGTACAGGTTGATATGATGGATTGATATTTTGCAAATTAACGATTTACTATAGGGTTTTTCTATTTAATCAAGTAACTCTGTAATTTCTTAACAAATACATTCGATTGTCACCATACGTGTTCTGTTCACTACACTCCGTTTGGAAAACTATCCTTGAATTCGGTAGTTTTTAATTCCATGATTAGCCAATTAATCATATGGTTTGAATATCACAGCTATGTATTTCTCTAGATTATATTTCGGCGAATTTGTAAAATCAACCACTTGTCTTAGTGGAGTATTATTCTTGTAAATCTTTGGTAGTCTATAGAACATACAAAGACCACAGCATTTTGGATATAATATGAACCAAAATAACGGTCTTAGTTTTACCTTAACCGATTGTGGAATTTCGCTATTTTCAGCCGTAAGCTTATTAAGTTTAGTCCGACGTCTCGCTTCTCTAATTAATTTATATGGGTCATGTTTGAGATGTTTCCTGGCTTTTACTCGTAGTCCGATTTGTTCATAATAACAGTCACGTTACCTTTATCTGCTCTCGTAATGTTAATTGTATTATCGTTCCTCAGCTGTTTTATTGGATATAAATCATTTTAGTTAGGTTAGAATTGTGTAGTTTTTGATTTAATAAAGTGGCCGCTATTTTATTCCCCAGATCATTCGCTGTTTCATCAGTAAAGAGATTTTAATTGCAGGTATAATATTGAAAGGTGATAATTGTGGTCTATTTGTATTGAAATTAAGACTTCTTTAAGCAAAGACAATTCATGGGTACTTAGATTTCTATCTGGCAAATTAATGGTCAGTTTGTTTGATTTATCTCCGGTCTGTTGAACTTTGTGGTTTGATGAGTGTTTTAGCATTTCTTCAAGCTTCCTTATCTGCCGCTGTTTTGACGATTGATTATGAAACTATTCCCTACGTTTAAAAAATTCGTCGACATTGTATCCTATTTCCTTCGATTTGATAACGGACGAGACGCCAACAATGTTACCAATCCTTAAACTCAGTGATAGCAGATTCATATTGGCTTCGTGAATACGGTCTCTAAAATGTTCTCGCAGCTGTGACCACCGCTTTGACAAAACGAATAGATTTGTCAAGAGATTTGATCAACAGATATTTTGGACAGACATTTTGTCTTAAAAATCGTAGAATAAAAACTCGGTGATTGTACCAGTTACATAATTTCTTTTATAATTTAATTCGATTACGAAATAATTTATATGAATATTTGTTAGTATTAGAACGAATAGTTTGACAGAAATCGAATAATTTAAGAGAGAACATTATTTGTGATTGTTATGGTTGAAATCACTGAGATTATTTTAAATGTATAGTTTAGGGGTTATTAACATGATTTTCGTTGTATATCATCAAATCGATAGAACTTAAAAAGGTTTTATTTGGTAATAAATTATTTTATATATTATCATGTCATTTGAAACTTTTATTACAATGAAATAATATTCACTAATCATACACGTGTAGATTAAATGCTTACAAGTTTTCGAGTGCCAGTTAACAATGCCATTAGCATTCTGTTCACCATAAATCCACAAGTGAATATGTAACAAATAAGGCTTTACTTACTTATTTACGCCTGTCACCCTCACGGAGTAGCATAGACTGCCCACCGACATTCTCTATCCAACTCTGTCCTGGACAATCCTTTTCTGTTCTTCCCAGTTACTATTCATCATTTTCATATCTGCATCCGATTCTCCACGCGGTGTATTCTTTGGCCTTCCTCTTTTCCGTTTCCCTTCAAGATTGTGATGCAGTTTGATTTCCGCAATATATGTCCTATCCACTTCCAACATCTTTTTCTAATTTCCTATTCAGCCGGAAGCTGATTTGTTCTCGAAATAAGGTTTTACATATCACATACTCATAATTTCATAGTAAGTCAAATGCAAAACTGGATTCATTTCAAATGACTGAGTTTTAAATAGTAAAAAGCTTTTAAAGCGGAGTTAAATATCATTGTTATCGATTCATTTTTGTCTAAATTGATAGCGATAATGATGCTGACAGTTAAATGGTTTTTATTGAAAAGAAAATGTATCTACCTATGTGTTTCATTCATTTTATTAACATATAGTCCTACATGAAATGTATGAATGAAAATTGTCTCTCAAGCTGTTAAAACACTTAATTCAACTATTTTAAAACTTCAGAAACTGTAATTAACTCTTCTGCTTTATATATGTCCAAACAACGAAATGATTATATTTGTGAATCCTAAAATATACTTTCATACTGATCGTAAATATTAAGTAGTATAGGATTAAATACACTTTCATCTTTTCTATTGTTGAAATGAGAAGAGAATGAATCGAGATCCATACTTTAAGTGACATAGACTTGATCGAGGAAAGATTTTAGGATATTTTCGACTAGTTACAAGTGAGATAATTTAATAAATTGTATTCTATATTAATACAGTATTGTTTTGCAAAGAATCAACTTTATAGTGTAGAATAAAGCACTTATCATTCTTATCATAATCACACTAATCAGGTAAAATGTTTTCTTTTTCTTCTTCAATAGTTTATTAAAATTATTTGTAGCAGAAGTCCGTGATGTACGTGCAACAGCTGATTATTGGTCAAAGAAAACAACAAATTTAGAAAAATCTTATCATAATTTACATGGAAAAGTTAAAGATTATCGTTTTAATGCAAAACAAAGTGAAAATGAATATTTGAAAGCTATGGAAGAACGTGATTACTTTTTACAAAGTGTAAGTTCACTATTATAGAATGAAGACTGTATATAAGTTTACAACTTGCAAGAATAATCACAATTATGGAACGATGGTTATGTTTCACGGTTTACATGAGGAATACTTTTAAGGAAGAATATCATGAAAACAGGAAAATTTGTGATGTAATCAAGTTTCGGTCATTATTATTATTGATGGCTCTATTGAACATTATGTGTTTAGAACAATAGACAATGTATAGCAAAGAGTATTTTAATAAGTTTCTCTTGCAAAAATAAAATACAATTGAAACTTTCATACATATGCACATAGAATAACTAATTAAACTGCACGGATTTAAATGAAATTTCTTCAAGAATATAAGGATCTTTACAACATTTAATTAGCAATATTTTTAAGAATACAATTTGTTGACTTAATCAGCACTTACAACTTATTCATCACATAGTATATTTGCTAGAAACGGTATCGTAGAGCTTTCATACATTTGATTAAGGTAATAGATTCTAATCTATCGGCGTCTTGTTCCGGTGGAAGATATACAGGCGGAAAGATGTGGATGGAGTAGATCGTTAATATCTAATAAGATAATAATTTCCAGGAGTTTGCAAGATTTAAAATATCTGTTCATAATGACTCTAAAAGATTCAAGATACATTCTCTAGCCGCGTTTAGCACTATCAGGAACACAGAGAAATCTTTTCTTAAAAGTCCGTGAACGCATGATGGTGTGCAATAAATAATAGTTTTAATATGTGGGAATATATCAATCGGTAAAGTGAATGTCGAGCAGTGCCAAAAGCATACACTTTCTTTGCATAATAAGCCGAACGGAAGAAGAACAAGGGAGATCATAAGAAAACATACATGAAGAAAAAGGAGTTTTACACTATTTTTATTACAAAATCGCCAGTAGTACAAATGTGGTGGGAGTCTAACGGGGTTTTTAAGTGCTGTTAATGCCTCAAGCCAAAACAAATATCTTGAAATTTATAAAGATTAAGTGTGAGACCACTAAAAGCAGACCATAGTACAATATGAGACAAAACTCATTAATCTCTAGAGGATTTGAAAATGGGGAAATTGGCTCACATACATTGACATCATACCCAGCAAGTGTTTTCCATAGAAGATGGCAAATCACTCAGTAACAAAGATAAAGTAAAAGAGGTAAGAACAGTTCCTTGTGTCACACTTTTTTGAGTTAGTAAAGACGTTGGGGATTTTTTTTCAAATACAGTGTAACGTTTTCCCTCAGAGAGGCCAGAACACAGTTACTTTGTATTCGGCAATGACGCTGGCAAACGTGTTTAATAGTAGTGGTTTCGTAAGAGAGCCAAAGGGAGATGTATAGTGTAAAAATGGGCACCAAACATATTTCTTGCCTTTTTCCGATTTGAACATTATGTTACAATGCAGATCAACACCAACATTTAAGACTGATATGATCTTCTAAAGCTTTTCTCTGTGTACATTCTTCCTTTTCCTCTCCGTAATCGCTTTAGTTGTTGAAATTCAAGTCGACCTAAACTTACAAAAGTGGTCTCAGTGAGACAACAAGCATCAAAGCAGAACTTGGGATAATATTTGATAACATCAGCAGTGTTTTCTAATAAGTCATTTGTAAATAAATATCAGTTTGTTATACGAAATATGTTTTTCAGATTTAGGGTATTTTCTATTTAATGGTTACTGTATTTAAGTTTCTTTGTCTGATGTAAGAGTGTACTCTTTCTAAGATTGTCATAAATTTAAAATAGAACACGGATAATATGATGATCAGAACTAGGCAATGGAGAACGTTTAAGAGTCACATATATTCCCACGTCAGTAATGAAAAGTGACTCCAAATGAGCATCCGAACAAAAAGGAATATTGAGTAAATTTTGGTGACCTGGTGACGAAAAAAAGCTAGCATCACATGAATTAAAATCACCACAAATAATTAAAAATGAACCATTGAAGGCGGTAACAGCAAATTTAGGGAATTCACCAACAAAAACACATAATGTACTGTCTGGAGTCAAATAAAATTAGATCAATATCAGTTCACATTCATAAATGTAGCTACACCGTAAACGCACATTTTCTTTTTGCGTGGTTGATCCTGACGAGAGACATTGAAGCTTTGTAGTAATTCTAAACATTATCATGTAAACCATTCTGTCAGGATCCTTTATTCGTGATTACAACACAACTACGATAAATGTTTACATTTTGTAAGAATGAAAGATAGTCCACCACATAAATTAGTGTTTGGCACTCTGAAGTTAGGTGTTCAGGAATAAACATCTGATTAACATCTATTCTTTTCAGTGCACAATACTAATGAACCTATTATATTCTTATTTCGGATGTTTTTAAGTGGTTTTAAAACAATCATTTTTGGTGTATACTTTAATTATTACTATGTTGTCAATATCATATCTCACTAAAAGATAACGTTTTCTACATTCACTGACACTAAAAATTCGACAAAGAATCAAAGTATAAAATAAACCAATATTACAAAGTTAACTATATTACTGTATTAAAAATATCTAAAATTGTTTAAATTAATGAGAAACATTGGAATTTCACTGATAATTTATGCTATTCACCCAAGTATGAAATTATTTTAGAACTTTTTTTACATATTCTTTCTAAAATCTAATTTACATTTGTTCGAATGTTAAATTCATTTATTTTGAATAAGTAATAATAATTTACCTTAAAGTACTATTAATCATTTAATAAAGTACATTATGTTTAATATTGTTTAATGAAACTATCATTTTCTCGAACATTCTTCTTTATCAAATATATACAATCTAGATTTCAGATTTCTATGACATCAAAAGAAATATGTAATTTAATTTATCTGACGTTAAACATTTGAATTCATAAACATTATTACATATTGAGTGTGACATTATTTTTTGTTTATCACAATTTTTGGTTGTGAGTACTTTTTTAAAAAAATGATTTTGTATTTGGATTGAAATGAATAAGAAAAAAAACTCATTCAATCTGAATTAAGATAATCATTTATGGTAATATAACAAGAAAACAACATTTATGAGAATTATTTAACTTATACCGTATTTATTACATTTCAAAGAAAACCCTGATCATACATTTAGAACATTAAAATATGAAGATGAGAAAAAAAAACGAGGTTATAGACTTGATAATATGGGACATAAGATTGAGGAACATATAACTCAAACAGTAATCGTTATTGAAAAACTTCATTTGAATACTTCAGTTATTATGCATTTTCATGTGGCTGAAAATTTAACATTTCTAATGAATTTTTCTAAACCACTTTTACACAACACAATAAAGGGTATTTTTAAACCAACTTTGTGTATTATTTCAATTATATGTGTCTAAGATGACCTCATATAAATACCTCAACAGATTATTGTTTTGCTCAAAAAGTACTGTTGTAATATGTTGACGTTAGTTGTTAGAAACTTATTGTATTTTTCAATATGTATCCAATATCTAAACTTCTACAATAATATACCTTGAAGAAGATTCGAACCACATACTTAAAGGTAGCAGTTTTCTCGCTATAATAGGGAAAACTACATTCCGACATTCGGAATAGTGTGAATTCGATACCTTCAGCTATTTCTCTCAAGTGCTTTCTTCTCTCTTAGATAACTTAACTATCATGATCATGGCATATGGATAATTTTGAGTGTTGTTCATTTACAAATATAAGGGAAACATGCTGTCTTACTGAATTAACATTACTGTAGTAAACAAGAACACGAGGGGAGACAACAGAATGTATTAGTCATGAGATTACAGAGCATCTCACTAAAATCTGAGAACCATATAGTAAATAGTTAGTTTGCAAAATATCAATCCATCGTCTCAGACTTCACTGTTTCGTTTTGCGAATATCAGTCCATCGGCTCAGATTTTATTGTTCATGCATTTTCACAACAGCTGCGTTCCGTTTCCGTTTTTTTCTTATCGATCTTCTACTGAAATACATTCTATACCTGACGGCCGTTATATACTACTTATTTGGATATAAGTAACCCACACCACATTACTACTTAAATACAATCAATCTTCCTGCTGTTTCTGGCCTCTAAACGTCTGTTTGGCCAAGTCACCCACGAAATTGTTGAATCGAATGGATAGAAACAGGGAGAAAAATTGATGATTGAGAAACGTTTATTACACGATAAAATGAAAGAGTAAAATATGTTACAAGATATAAATTTTCAGAGGTTTCCTGGACTCTGATTAGTGATTAGATTTTGAATAAGATTAGCTTGATAGAGTCTGCCATTGATTTAACAATAAGTTACTTTATGCAAAAGATTTACAAATGTTTCAAGATCGAAATACCCTATTCCAAATAAACACTTGACTAACATGATTGCTATATACTTAAAGAAACGTATTAATTGTCATCTTTCTACTTGTATTAAGAAAGATCTGATTATAACAGTCATGTTATTGTAAATATCTGTACTCATCAATTAGTTAACTGTTTAAAACTAGAAATTCTGAGTTTTTTTTACTATTTTAATAAAATTTAGCTACGAGAATCAGAAACAAGAGAACAAAACTTATCAAATTTACTTCAACGTGTTGAAGATGAATATAATACATTATCAAGAGATATAAGAATTTTAGAACGAGCTCATGCAAAAAAAGATCGTCAATTACAAAATTTATTATTAGAAAAAAATGAACTTTCTAGAAAAATTATACATTTAGAATCAACTTTGCATAAATTAAAAAATCGAGCAGAATACACATATCGGCAAAAGTAAGAATAATTAATTTTATTGATATAAATAAATGAATATAATAATAATAAAATCAATTCTTGTATGTTTGTTTATATCAGAAATAATCAATATATTTCACTTTGGTTTATATTAGTCTCTTTATAACTGTGCAGTAACTACTACTTTCAAGATTAGATTGTTGTTTTTTTGGTTAACATCACAGATTGTTGTGGATACTTGTTATCAAGTGTTAAAATATTCATTCCTCACATACAAACAAATTTTGAAATGTAAATACAGATAATTTGAGCAAGGCTTGCTAAGTTAAGTAGGCGTGTTGTAAAAGTGGTTTGACAGGCGGTTAAGAAATATATGAGCTTTTACGTCAGCCGATACTTTATAATTTTAAGTCTGCTACAAACTACCATTAACGGCATCACTTAATCAATCTAAATCTTAATCTGTCTAATTTTTTTAAACACCGAATTTGTATAAATGATAAAACATTCCTGTATAACATTGTAAGTAAAGCCACTTTTTCTAATTCTCAGCTCAGTGTAAATTGGAACATTTGGATTAATTTCATAAATGTAAAACAGTTCGAAAAAATTATTGATCATAACTAATTTTCTGGTAATCAACAGTTAAGGTTTCTAAATTTTGGGGATTATTCCCCACAGCGTTTTATGTGTACCTTGTTTGTAAAGTTGAAAATAACGTATATGGAACATATTGGTAATTGTTCAAAGAAAGTAACCTATCAATAGAATATAGTTCAAATAACATTAATCATTACTTACGGCATCAGGACAACATTACAGTCTTTCTTGGGAGTTTTCTAGCTCTTTTAAATCAGAAAAACGGTAAAGCAAGGAATAAATTCTGATGAATCTGGATTTTAGCTCACTGTCTATATGTTACTTATCCCATAGTATCTAAACTAACATAAATTCTAAACTTATTAGCAAGTGTCATTTTAATATATTATATAATAAAGGATAAATCGATATATAATAGAAATAATTGTTCATGTAACACATCATCGCTCATATTCTGTAAGAATCGTTTGTAATTGGTATATGTGAAAAATACTGGAATTTGACATTTTCGTGTAATTTTATTTTTGGTCTGTTCAATTCATTTAGTTTTTTCTTCACTCCAATTTATTGTCAGACACTCATCTCATAAAGATGAACCCATAAGTCGACTTCATACCCAACTTGGTGATGAATCTGAATATGTACTAAGTGACTTCGGTTCATTAGATAGAAACCAAAAGATATACACAATGACTGCATCAATAGATGAAAGACAGAACAAAAACACTCTAATTGGTATTAATCAAAATTTAGATGATTCTGATACGTATATACCACAAAAATCGGATTCATTCAAAGTCTGTGGATCAGTAGAATTATTAGATGGTAAAAAACAAAGCTATTTGTCCAACAAAAACATGTCAGACTCTTTAATAACTACAAAAATAAGTGAAAATAATATCAATACACAGGATCATAAAGATTCACTTGATGATCAAAATATTGATTTGTCACCAACAACAATTGGCAATGATGAACAGATTCATCATCAATCAGAACATTTAATACAGCATCGATCAGTTGAAAAAAGTATGGATGATTTATCGGATACTTTAGTAGATTTAAATAATTTAACTAGGCAAGATGATATGGATATTGAGATACAACCAAGAGATTCAACAAATAATTACCATAGAAAATGGAGTATTGCATCCGATTATCAATATTCGCCTAATCAACATATTAAGTCATTAAAAAAAGATGCTTTATCAACTGAAGATGAATCATTAAAACATAGATCTCAAGTACAAGTTGTTGTTGGGCGATCACCATCAACTGAAAAAAAACGAAGAACAGTTCATACCAGTCATTCACATAAAAAGTATTCATATAAGAAAAGTAAGTTTAAAGACGTTAAATGAAATTTTATTTGCTAAAAGCACTCCTTGAAATTTAACCAACATTTGTGCTACTTTAAGAAGCTGGATAGAATTTAAGTAAAGGCTGTCTCTATTGATTATTCCCGCGAAAGTTTGAGAAACCTGTGAAATTGGCCATATATATTATGAGTTATTATTGCGGAGTTTTTAGGCACTCTAAATGAAAGGAGAGGGTGTATTAGCGAGAACTAACTTTTATTAGTCCAGTTACAAACAGAAATTTCAGCAATATGCTTAAAAAAATTCAAGAGCCATTCGAGCTTATTATTTATAATTGGACTGAGAATCTAATGGACAATCACATTTTTTCTGTTTTGTAAATGTATCTGTAACATTTAATATTTACAGTAATTGATTATTCTACTATATTACTCAAAAAGTAGTATGATTATTAGTAAAAAGTAATTAAAATGATTTAGTCTATAAATTGTGGATACAAAATAGTTCTTAAAGCAAACTTCATAATGTTCCTTTGAGTACAAATACTAGTAATATCCGAGTGAGTAGAAAACTGGAGATTTTATTAACTGTAAGTTGCTTCCCAGATAATATTGGTTCATCCACTGTCATCGGTCAGACTGTTTGTTTTTGCTATTTTCTATAATTTAACAAGCGATAACACTTAAATCTAAACTGACTAACAATAGGAAAGTAAGGGAAAAGGCATGCTGTACACTGATGACATATATTAATTTTTATTTGGTTTAAAATTGTTCGAATTCTATCCTTTGACATAATCATGTATCCTAATTCTTTTTATCCCAGTTTTTGATCAGCCTGTATTGCCATCTGTATTCAGTACTAACAGCCTTCGATTTAATAGACATCGTCCAGCATCAGTCTCTGGTTATCTGGATGAATGCGCACTAAACAGGTCGTACGATTTATACCCTGTACCATCGTCAGCTAGGCCAAGTACCAGTTTTGGACATTTACATAATTCTAAACGTTTAAAATCACTGGAAAGAGATTATTATACATCTTGTCAAAATTTAAGTACAAAACCTTACTCCACTGTAAAACTGAATCGTCAAGTAAATCGACAACCTCTCATTATTCACTCACATTCAGATCGTCGTTTAAGAGATATGCAACATGCGAATTATTTACGTCATGGCAATCGCATGGATAACGAATATGAACGAATTTACTTTCCCCAGTCATATTCATCACATCATTTAAAAATTCCAGAAAAGGTAATGTGAGATTAAGATTTAATTTATAAAAACTATTACTTTGATCAGTTTAATCAATTAAATCAAAAAGTCACTGAAACAAATTATAGAAACGTCATGATAACTTTACATGCTTTTGCAAAAAGATTACTCGTGAGTGAATCAGTCGTTTCCTAGTCATTTCAGTATTAAGAATGGAAGATTTCTATGATGTAATTGCGGAATCCGTTAAAGTATAATTAGATTTATTAACTGAATCATAATGTTCTTCTTAGTTCAAATTTCTTTTCTTTTTATGGAAAATAGTAAAAACTGCAGAAAAACCAAATACCCTTCATAAATGTTTACGTATAGAATTAAAAATGAAATTCTTTCAGAAAAAAACGCTCAGTTTTACTCAATCATTGTAAAGTAACGTTAGTTAGGTCATATTTATAAAGTGTAGTGAAGTAGCTGTAATAATACTTTAAAAAATAAACGTTAGACGATATTATAAGTAAACATTTAATTGATAAACAGATATTCAGTTTTGAAATTTATTCTTTAGATCAGTGGTAATTTATATTCAAATCAATAAGTTATGTAATGGTGTAACTAGATTTGAGTTTGATTTTTGACGACTGTACAATATAATTTTATTGAACATTGAAAAGTTGTTTGATTCAACACTTGATTGAATATTGTTTTGATCTATCCTTTCAGTTTATAGGATATGAATATTTAAAATGCAATTTTAAACGTTGTATCTAGTTATTAGAGATTTTGTTGTGTATAAGTGTATCATCCATGAAACTGAGCTATTTGTTAAGTTTTTTTCATGAGATTTATTCTTAAAAGATTAGGTATCATATATCTTTGCAACTAAAATGAATGACTTCAAAACTTTGATAAAAATTTGTAAGAATCCTCTTTTAACAATCAGAATGTTAAATAAACGCAAGATATCAAACAAGAAATGATATTTATAAGAATACCAATCTGTTTATTAGATAATTCACTTTTTAAAAAATGATTAAAATTATCGAAGATAATTCCTCTATTTTCAGGTAGTCACCTCTTGACAAATACAGTCCAAAACTCGCTTATATTTCCACATTGTAACGTAATGTTACCTAACAACAAGTGAAATAGTAAAAGAAAGAATAAGTCACATCAAGCTTATATAACACCTTTTTGACGTTATTCGATGGGATGGGCAGTTTTGTGAAGACACATTGTTGCAAGCTAAATAGTCCAGAATATGAGTATTAAGGATGTTATGAAAGATTTTTTGTCAAGCAAGCTTCAGTCATGTATAAATTACCACTATAGTTTACGATAGTTTATTGGGATACCTTTTAATACAATATATACTATTAAAATTGTCAACTTTTCTTACATTTCCCCTAAAATAGTTTATCATGACCTGATCTCTTCACTTAGTTCACTATTTTCAATTAACCATAAAAAAGTATAGAAAAAAAATATCATTTTGAGCATTTATATTATTAATTATGTAATAAGTAGTTATTTTCATGAATTTCTCGCAAAATGCATACAGAAAAGTGATTGTATCTGTATACAATGATCATATGTATCATATACTTCTCCAAGTATTTTTCCTTAATTTATTCACCTTACCTTATTTCAAGACAAATGTGATTTTTGTTCGCGGTAAAAGTGATATGGTTTCTTATATATATATATATATATATATATATATATATATATATATATATATATATATATATATATATATATATATATGCATTAATATCATAGTTTAAAATAAATTATGAAAGGTCTTCTTATGAATGATATCGATTAGTAATAGCATAATATCGTTATTGAACATTGAAAACGAAATTATTGAATAATTTATTAGTCAAAATCTAATACAATGAAATCAACGGTGATGTAATTTAAATGTTAATTAAAAAGCCCACATTTCAGTTTCTTTTACTACTGTTCAGTATTTGTTGTTTGATTTTTTTCTTTGAAAAAAGAGTAATTTATCTTTAATATTATTCTATTATTACTTATCATGAAAAATGGGAATATTAACATTCACGATGGTGGTGATGATGATGATGATGATGATGTTAATGCCTGTAATTAATGATAAAATCATAATTTTTTCATAAACTGAATGATCAATTATACAATAAAATTGAATTTTAACAATTAATTGGTGATATTATTATGAACATGAAAGGATGAATTGGTTTCAAGCCGATCATGCAAGGAATTGAATATTTCTTATAAAAAAAAGGTAAAATGTAGTAAAATACCAAAGCTGAAGCTATTATAACTACATTTATTAACAGTATTGGTAGTTGTATTAACAGTAGTAATACTATTAGTATTAGTAGTAGTTGTAGTTGTTGTTGGTGTTATTGTGCTAATAGTTTTCCAACATACAATAAATGATTTTTAGTCTTGTTCTGTTAATTTCAACTTAGTGAAAACATATTATAATCAATATTCAAGCTATCATGTTTTATATTTTCCTTTATGAAATCTGTACAGTAGAAATTTTATTTTTTTTTAATGTAAACCAGAAGCTTCCTTCAAAAGAATTCCATGTACAACAGTCTTGTACTGTCACTAAAAGCCGGAAATCAGTGGTAAACTAATGCACATGAGTTGTATTCAATAAAATGTTTTTGAAAGGGAATCAAAACTAGAGTTTGTTTTTAATTTGATCATTAAAACATGATATAAAAATTAAAAAAAGCATTTTCGTATAATTCATTTTTCACAATAATCCGTTTTTCTAGCTTAATAAATAGTTTTTTGAACATTCAAAGTGGTAATTGTGAATCTAAAAACGGCGGTCCAGTATAGATTCAATCCAGTTTTAAAGTACATTTTTTTCGTTGTGCACCATTTGATTATTGTTTCATCTTAGTTTTGGACTCCTCAAAAGTTTACAATTATGACTTCTTGTGAGATGAAGCAGAATTATCAAGACTATTTATTTTTAAGAGTTACTTCTAGTTGCTACTGAAGGTTTTCCTTTAGTACTAAAATCTGTGATTGCTTATATATATATATATGTATATTCATACTCTATAATTCAAAATGTGAAATAAGTTATGACTCATTTTTCTAATCATTTTATAAAGATGATTATCTGAAATGATAATGAAAAATGAGATTAGTATAGTCGAGAAGTTTCGGACGACTATCAAATCTTATTGAATATTGATGGTGATCGATGATCGTGATCTTTTTTTCCTGACTCATTGGTTTCAGATGACATTTCGTGGATAAGAATTCATTGTGTTTTATTTGACGTATATGTGTTTACTTGATTCTCTACGGTCTTATGAAAGGTCACTTTGAACGTGTCACAGTTGTTGTTCTATTCACTTTAAGAAGCCTTGACTAGTGCAGTTCAATTGCGTAAGGTATGCGGCAGTCATCTGAGTAAGACGATGCTGGACGATTGTGCTAGTTCATAAATCATCTGACATTAGATATTAACACTGTTGGGTTCCGTTTCAGTGGTCTAGATGTTAAGCATCCGCTCTCAAGACCGAACTTGCGAGGTTCAACCCCCACCTGCAATTCCGTAGATACAACTTGCTGAGGAGTCTCACGCTAGAAGGAAATGGTCGTACAGTGTTTCTAGGTTTTCAGTAATGGTCTGTCTTTGGTCGTTTCAAAATTTTGATGCTATTCTCCCTGACTTTATACAGTTTTCTAACCAATGTCTGTTTGCAATAAAACTCAACTTCAGTTACTTACTTACTTACTTACGCCTGTTACCCCCAATGGAGCATAGGCCGCTGACCAGCATTCTCCAACCCACTCTGTCCTGGGCCTTCTTTTCTAGTTCCATCCAATTCTTGTTCATTTTTCTCATGTCTATCTCCATTTCTCGGCGTAATGTGTTCTTCGCTCTTCCTCTTTTCCTTTGGCCCTAAGAATTTTATGTGAGGCCTTGTCTTGTGACGCAGTTGGGTGCTTTCCTCAATGTGTGTCCTATCCACTTCCACCGCTTCTTCCTAATTACTTCCTCCACTGGGATCTGGTTTGTTCTCTCCCACAGTAAGTTGTTGGTAATAGTGTCCGGCTAATGGATCTGAAGTATTTTGTGTAGATAACCGTTAATAAACACCTGTATCTTCTGGATGATGGCTTTCGTAGTTCTCCAGTTTTCTGCCCCATACATAAGAACTGTCTTGACATTTGTATTGGAAATCCTGACTATGGTGTTGGTTGACAGTTGTTTTGAGTTCCAGATGTTCTTCAGTTGTAAATATGCTGCTCTTGCTTTGCCGATCCGCACGTTCACATCTGCATCAGATCCACCCTATTCATCAATCATGCTGCCCAGATATGTAAAGGTTTTTACATCTTCCAAATCTTCTCCGTCAATTGTGATTGGATTGTTGCATGCTGTGTTGTATCGGAGAATCCTGCTTTTCCCTTTGTGCATATTGAGACCTACTGCTGCTGAGGCTGCTGCCACACTGTTCGTCTTCTCGTGCATCTGTTGTTGCATATACTCATTTAATTACGTCTCGTGGGCTATGAACTTAGTACTGTATTGTAATGAAATAAATAGAAAAACGGATAAACATAACAGGAATATTATACCTTATTTACAGTTGATAACTTTTCATTTTACTAAAAATGCTTCTTACTTGTTGTCACATAATCTGGATGTGACATTAGAAACCTCGTTGATTTATTTATATAATAGTTAAATAATCTTTTTGTATATTTTACTTCAGTGACTTATTAAAAATTTGTCGTGTTATTTAGTTTGCGCGTCGTAACGTTCATACTGATTGACATATTAAATCAAAGTAATGACAGTTTAACTGGACATTACAATTCCTACTTGTTTTATAAAGATACAGATAATTAATGAAAACATGTTAAGTTGTGTATCTTCAGACTTTTAAACATAATCTGAAGAAACGTTCATAATTATTTGTTTGGACCTAGTAAAACAACGGTTATTTTTTAGTGGGTTGAACGTAAACCTTCTATGTATTGGATTATTAAAGTAACGTCTCATTCAAGCATCAAGAAGAAGTAAAGCACAGAACCACGTCAGCTATCCTAAGCTCGGTTTACAGAATATGTGACAAGCAGAATAGTGTTGCAGTATGAACTGACGATTAATGTTTTTATCTAGTATCCACCATTTTTAATTTTTGTTCATTGATTAATGAACACTGATCTTTTTATATGAATTTCATTCGAATAAATATCAAAATACTAGTCTTTTTACATCTCATTCGCTACTTGGCTACATCGTTGTTCTGAATTTTAGATGTAGTTTCACCTACAATCATCATACTTGTATCTAAATAGCTTCTAGTATGTTTTATGAAATCTCGATTTCGTTTTCTACACACTTAATCAATTATCTGTAACAAGTCAACTTGTTAGATGTATGTTTATTCATATTTCGATTTATATATGTACTATGTCACATCAATACTTCGAGATTAGAGTATGTTCGAAAAACTGTTAACACTTCTAATTTTTGATTTATATAGTTCAAAGATCAAAAATCTTGGATTTTTGGAGTATGACAGTTTAAAGTACTTCATTATCTCTTTCACTAAATCATTAACTCTATATTTTGTGTGCATAACGATTGTGTATTTCTTCTTAGATATCATTATCATAGAGTTCGTAGTGTTTTATTCAACATATATTATCGTGTCTAAGTATTGCATCCAATTATTAACTATCGATTTCATAGAAACTTAATTACATAAATGTTTGTGCTTCATTGATTCCTTTATTATTGATTATACTTCCTATCTAATAGTTATGATTAAGCATAAGTTCAAATTATTTAAGTCGAATCAATCTTAAGGTTTCTAAGATAAGGGATTTTATTAAGAATTCAAATATATTTCCACTTTTCAAATTTAAAACTAAACAGTTTAACATCAATAAATACAATTTAAATAGTTGAAATCATGAGTCAATTAAAACTAGACCACCATGGAAAACCTGGAACGACTGGACGGCCGTTTCGTTCTAGTATGGGACATCTCAGCACTGCGCATCCACGATTTTGCCCCCTCCATCGCGAGATTCGAACCCAAGACCTATCAGTCTTGCGCGCGAGCGCTTAACCACTAGACTACTGAGCTGACATCCAACGGTGACTCATGATTTCAACTATTAAAGATTACTGAAATCTCCACTAAACTCATTCTGAAAATACAATTTAATTTAAAAACATTCTTTATTCAATGAATAATAGTTTGTATAAAATATCATAGTTGAATATTCCAGAGTCACCTGTTTGTAAAAACAAAAAATAAGTATAACGTATTTTGTGATCTGTTACTAATGCTGATGAATCTTAATTAAAAATTTTCTATACATCACCAATGATAAATAACAAACATAAATGGTTTGATAAAGCTTTAATTAATGATTAAAATCATATTAAAGTATCATACTTGAATTGATACTCATGATAAAAGTCATTTTATTGAATGACTCTCATTAACCTTTAAAATTAAGATTTTGTAGTTAAGAGTAACAAAATTTATAAAATGTTTGATATAGTTGATGAAACAATATGAAATTATGTTACATTGGTTTAAAAACTATGTTAGTAGGTTTTTTTGTTTCAAGTATTTATTCGATGAAAAAGAAACTAAGA